TATATATATCTGCAGCTAACATGAAAACTAAAGGACTAATGCTGAGGTTCTCCTTCCATCACTAATGAAATGTGTTTATACATATATGTATTAGCTCGGCACTAACATGAAAGTTAACAGGCTAAACTTAGGTTCTCAATTCAATTCACCTCAACTCAATTCAATTCAATTATAATTCATTGATTCCAAAGGGAAATTACAGTTCCATGGAGCAGCTCAGTTGTCCTCCCTCATCTTTTTCAGTTTCAGGCTGAGTCATTTCTCTGTCAACGCGTTCAGGTTTCATTCAAAACATCAGACATTTTACTAAATTAACCTTCAAGCTGAATGAAGCTCACAGCGGAGCACAGATCTCTGATAGAATTTCTACCAACAGGAGTGAAATGAAGCTGCTTCACTGGACAGTCAGTTCCCTCAGACTGGCTGCTGTTTCTGAACTAAAGCATCTAAAATGATTTCTTGTCACAGTTTAACTTTGAACACAGCCAAAACAGTGGAAACCCAGAGACCGTCTGGTCGTCCAGGTGCTTGTGTTTACTTACCTGAAGCTTGCTCTCCAAGGCAGCAGTGGCACTGTCCCCGCTGCTCTCGTCCACCACCACCACCATGTGAGTCAATGAGTTCACCCTCACCTGCTCCAGCTCCAGGTCCTCCTGCAGGAGCTGCAGACACACACACAAACACACAGAAAGAATAAAAATACACATACGCTGGTTTTACAGAACCAACGGCTGACTCTGGATGTTGAGCAGAGACTAATCTTTGTTGACTCGCTAAGGTTGAATGTCTTCAACATTTCCCTGTAGCTCTACTCCAACACTTTGCACACTCCAGCAGTTAATCGATGTCTGTGTGTTTGTAGGGCTAATGCTGCGTTCACACCGAATGCGATTTCAGCTTCAAAATCGCAGCCAACACTGAAGTTGGTCGCTTGTGTACTTTGAGGTCAGACGCAGGTCAGCTGTTGAAGCGCTGCACGGCAACAGCCTCCCCGCCCCTCCCTCCTCTGTCGGGCTCTGTTTAATGTCAGACGAGGAAGTGGCTTTGCTTTATTTACAGAGAGCAAGAGCATGTCACGTTCATCAGATAATTAATTCATAATTAATTCACCAGATAATTCAGAGTAGAGGCTCACAGCTCGCTTTCAGGACTATTTTTCCAGTCTGATGAGTCGCTGCCACGCATTGGTGCGGATATCTCTGTCAGGACACCGACTGCAGGCACTCGATTTCAGCTAAAGAGCTCCTCTCCATCTGTTTCAGGTTAGTGGACATCTTTCAGTAAACTGTCCCGTCGGAAAATATGTCGCTACGTCACACAGTGGAGTCTCTCTGATTGGTTGATGCGGTGTGTCGAGCTGCAAAAGTTCAGATTTTCTAACTTCAGCGATTTTCGCCTCAGCGCGTCGAACGCTCAGATCGTTCAAATCGTTCAAATCGCGCTGCTCTAATCGCGCTTGAGGCGCCGCAGAACTTCCCGACGTTGCTTGAAGCGCGTCCACCATAGACTTTGCATGTAAACCTGCTGCTCCTGACGCTGAAATCGCGTTCAGTGTGAACGCACCACAAGACATGTGGTGGGCATGGTTCTGCTAACCAGCTAATACCATAAGTAATTTTTTGTTTTAGCAGATTATCTTTTTCACTAACGTTGAAAACCTCATATGGACCAATTAGCTTCTGCCTAATTTGTTTTTCCAACTTTAACTCCGCTAACAGCTAGCTAACAAGCTAACATCAACAGGTTTGTCAGTCCCACCAGTCTGCAGCTGAAAGGAGACAAAGACGTGATGCAGACTGAGTGATGGTCGTTTTAGTGGTTAGCAATAAATTGTTCCTGTTGGCTTCCGCTATATTTTACTTGTTTGGTGTTAGCATCTACTAATCTTTTTTACATGTTTAGTAGTGTAGAGATTTATAATCTACACCTTCTCATAACTAAGTTATGAGGAATTAAGAGTTCTTTTTAATATAGATAATAATACCTTTTTTGTGTAATCATCAGGAAATTAACCAATGAGTGACATAGTCAGTAAAGTTTTATCTAAAATAAATTATATTTATATACAGAAAAACAATTATTTATGTACAGACTCATTGAGGGATGATCAGATGTTTACAAAAGTTGAAATCAGTAACATTTAACTCGCGAACGTGTTAAATATTGTTATTTTGACAACTTTATCAGGAACAACCTTTTGGCTTAAGATGTGAAATAAACCATTGTTGAGGCACTGTTCTTAAAGTTTGACAGGATATTGGAAGAGATTTAAAGATTTAGAGAGTAAAAGGTTGTTAAGAAAGGGGAACTAAGTTTTATCTTATCAAAGTGAGGAGCCAGAAGGTTTTGGAAGTCTCCCTCGGCACAGCCCGGACTCAGATACTCTCTTAATCAACCAAGTTCAGCTTTTACCTTTTGTAGATTTCAAGTCAGGTTAAGCGTGATGGAAAGTTTATTCCACCCCTAGGTGACCACTACAGTAGTTCAGACTTTTTTTTGAAAAGACATGACATAGACTAAGTGACAGTCATTTTAGCAGTTAGTGATTAGTTATTAGCATTAGCTTCCTATTAGTTCTAAAATGTATTTTATTTTTTTACCGCTTTAGCTTAGTGAAGCGAGAGCTGAGCCAGAAGGCCAAATTCTTATTTACCCGTCGGTCTACGTTCCTACCCTCATCTATGGTCACGAGCTTTGGGTAGTGACTGAAAGAACGAGATCACAGATACAAGCGGC